AGGAATGCGGAAGTGATGTAATACACATTGCTTCCTGCATTCCGAAGAGGAGGAGGAGATCAAACGGAGCTTATGTACTGAGCTCAGTTTGATCTCCGGCCGCAGAGCTGCTGTACTGATCCCGGGCTCGCACCGGGCACAGCGGAGCTCGGGATCAGCAGCAGCGCCTGCAACGTAGGGGGGCCGCACACCCGCACGCATATTATAAGCGATCGGGCATCTCTACAGACGGCCATAAGCTTGTATGTAAACAGCCATCGCTGGCTGTTTACATACAAGGCTAGCGGCGGGCACGAGCGGGGCGGTATGGGACGTTTAAAAACGCCCACCCGCATTTAAGAAGTTGCTGTCCGGCCGTTTAATTACAACGGCCGGACAGCAGGTGGTTAAAGTGTATTTCCAGGTTTGCAGTCAAATTGGCATAACACCTATTTTATATTTATTACATCTTCCCATTTACATTGCAGGACTTCCTACCTAATCTCCCCCCCCCCATGTAATGTTAGGTAGGGGCTCTAGGAATTTACAGGGCTGACTCATTTCATTATCAGTCGTAAACTATATTGGTCTTCACAAAGAATTAAAGGCTAAAATTAAAGCCTTTTGCAAAAATGAAATGCATATTAGGAAACCATTTTTTAAATGGTTGCATTCAAACCTGGAACGCATTGCAACGGTCATCACTGGATCATGCTGCAAGGCTCAGGAACGGTGCACACCTAGACTATCTGTGACCGCGCGGAAATCGTACACGATAACTTGCGGTTCATGGAGTCGCCCATCACAGACAATCGTGCTGTGGGTGCCATTATTTTCTAATGGCACCCCAGTCGCGCTGGGCGGATTGCGCAGTTTCCCCTCTGAGATTCCACCTGTCCATCTGAACACTGAAACAGCCACGCGTCGTGTATCGCAAAAAAAGTACATTAACCTTTTTCTGCGATTGCCGCGTGGGCAATGGAGCCGCGCAGCAGTCGCTGTCTGCAATTGCGCAGGACCACGTGATCCCGGATCGCTCAGGTCTGCACCGGGCCTTGGGCTTCTGCATTTTCCTCCTAAAGCGAAGCGATGATCGGTACGGAGTTTCAGTTTAAATTTCGCTCACAAATGGCAGGCACTCATTGGTCAGCGTGGTCACCTCACTAAGCATTTGGAAGCATTTTCTTGCTGTTTTTCTTTCTTTACATTTCTTTTTTCTTTATTGGACCCTAGGCATTAATGACCAGTTAACCTTTGCGGTGTTCCGGGGGTAGTCGTACTGTTTAATTATCCGGCGTTCTTCTTTAAAGATCTAGAAGCATTGTATGTAAAATGAGAGAAAATTTAGCATGTCCTTACTTTTTCTATGGGGACAGAATCCCTTTACAATTGCTTCCAGTCTGCACAATGGCCTGCTTCAAAGAAATTAAAGATGTAGGAATTTTTAATTATATTTAGGTATGCTTTGTGAATGGGAACATTTAACAATATAACATATATATTGTGGGGTTTTCTCAAATCTTGACTTTAACCACTAGGGAAAGTAAAGTCGCACCCTTTTATCTTCTGTGGCCATTGCCATTTGCAGACTAACACTTGTGCCAAAAATAACTGAACTGTTGCCTGGGCTTGGCCTTTAAACTCTAAAAGCTGTGCCCCCCAGAAAAGGAAAGCCAGGGACAAATGACTACCAGTGTTGCCTGTGGTTTGCCTGTAGCAGATATTTTCCCCATTACTGACTTACCATGCCTTGATTTGCAGTATATTTGTGTGAAAAGAGTCCTCCTGTGGTAGACTAAAGGTGCCCATACACCTTACGACCATCACAAGACTTTTGTCTTGCGATGGTCGTATGCTTCTTGAAAGCCCGTACGATCTTCCCACCTTGGACGGGCAGATCGTACTTGCGATGACGGCAATGCAGAACGGGCAGTGTGCGAGTGCGCACACCGGCCCGTTCCGCAGCTATCGGACGAGCAGGCTAGAAACCCGCCGAGAATCGTACGATTCTCGGGTTTTCAAACATGTTGGCTCGACAAAAGACGTGCGACCGTACAGTAGAAACGGTCGCACGTCTTAGTTCACACTGCTCGATTCTCGTACGATCGCGGGATTTCGCCCGATTCTCGTACGAGAATCGAGCAGTGTATGGGCACCTTAATAGGGTTTTGCCTCCTTATCTCAGAACTGTGCCTTGATTGTTGGTGATCTATTAACTGGTGTTTTTCAAGGTTTACAAAGCATTGATACTCAGAATGAATGAAGTGGAAGCAGAAGCAGGGAGATTTAAAGCAGGAAACGTCCAGCATTAAGGTTACATATGATAAATAGCCTCTAAGTATCAGATCCAAAGGCTTATTCGCAGAAATATGCTTATCTAGGTGGTGTACAACTATGACTGGCTGTGTGCATGAGCCCTAATATCCCACAAGTGAAACAGTAACTTACCTGCTGCTACTAGACTTATAGGAAAATAAGCCTAAAAGCTGGTTTCCAAGAAGGTAAAACCACACTCTCTGCATAGTTCAGCAAATGATCCCCACAATTGCTATATGTGAAACCCTCCTGACTTTGTTAGACCTACTCCATTGTAGGCTTAATGTGACACTAAACTCGAGAGTTAAAGGAGAACTTTGAGGAGAACTTTGAGGTGAGTGAAAATCACTCATCCTCATCGTTTGAGCCGAAGTGTGACAATGAAACTGTCACAGGTCGGGAAGTGAGCGAACACATACCGTCACTCGCTCACTTCTCGATCATGTCCCTGCAGAGAGCTGTGACTGTCAGTCACGGCTCCCTGCAGGGATTCCCCCCCTCCCCTGTCCGATCTGCCAGCGCTGACTGGAGGAACGGACGGGGGAGGGTACAGCTGGCTCTGCCTCTAGATAGGCAGAGCCAGCTGTCACTCATGCAGCTGGGTGGATTTCGACAGTAATGTCAGGATCCATCTCGGCTACGGCGGTCTCAGTATACCGTGAGCTGTAGCTGGTGCTATACTGAGCTTTGGTTCACTGGAGGATGCTTGTATATGTCCTCCCGTGACCCTTAAGAGAACTATGGGGAAAACACTTACCCCATAGTTCTCTTTTAGGCCTGGTTCACACCTGGGCGTTTTACAGCATGTTCCTACGCGCTGTAAAACGCTCAACATGTGAAAACCAATGATTGCCTATGGGCATGGTTCCCACCTGGGCGTTTTACAGCGCGTAGGAACACGCTGCAAAACTCCCTATGCCCAAAGAAGTACAGTAGCTTCTTTGGGGCGTATTTGCCGCGCGTATCCAGTGGGATACAGCCGGATAGCCCTCGGAAATCGCTGTAAAAACGCGCGGCACACGCGCATATTCCGTACGCCTAGGTGGGAACCCAGCCTTAAGGTCTCAAGTTTTAAAAATGCATTCAAGTAGGCTAACTATTAACAAAAATGTATCTTATCTGTGTATCACTCAGCTGTAGATCCTCAAATCATCTCTGAATTGGTGCTGACACTGTGCTTCCTTCTGGTGGCTGCTTTTGTTCCCCATGGTCCCTGTATGCGTTGAAAAGTAGCCACCACCCCAAGCTCACTCCTGTGATGGACTACAATCTCAATACAAATTAGCAAACTAAGTGTGAGGTTGTAGTCCATCACTAGGAGTGAGCTTTGAAGCGGTAGCTACTTTACAACACACACAGTGACCATGGGGAACAAAAGTAGCCACAGAAGGAAGGACAGTGTCGGCACCAATTCAGAGATGATTTGAGGATCTACATCCGAGTGATGCACAAATACGATACAGTTTTGTTAATAGGTAGGGTTCTTGGATGCATTTGTAAGATTTAACTCCATAGTTTCGTGTCACTTTACCAGTGGGTATCCACGTAGGCTTGTATCTTCTGCGGTCTCGCCAGAGCCTCCTGTTTTCCAAGGGACTGTCTGACCAAAGCCTCATTTCGACTCTAGTATCTCCTACATAAACACAGTAAGCTTCCTACAGGAGCCTATGAGGGTTTGAGCAGTCGGACTTCAAACACCAGTGAGAAGGCCATGTGCCAACCCTTCACTGGCCACTGTGGGCACCATTTACTGTGTATTAACCCCTCATCATCTCAGTATTCTATAAGCGGGGAGATGCATGCAGTGCAGATCCCCTTTAGCAAGCAGCACAGTAGTGACATCACCAAACCTTACTCCAAATCATGAGACTAGCATTTACAGGCATTGGTAACCTTGGATGACATCACACTGCAGGTGTACAGCTATGAGGCTGTACTCAAGAAAGTACCTCGGCACTCTATTATACTAGGAAGTGTACTGCTATTTTTCAGAAGAAGTTCAAGACAAAGATGCATTTTTTTAGGGTGCGGTTTGGATTTAGTATGGATGTTCCCTTTAACATGTGCCCTTTAAGCTGGCCAGACATTGTAGGTGCATTAACCAAGAGTCTCACAATGCTCTAGTTTGAGCCTAAACAATGTTTGGATTGCACATGTGTTCCTTTTTAGGCTTTTAATCAAAATTGGAAAAAGTAGGTTTATAGATGACACCAACTTATAACTAAAACAGAGGTCTGATAATGTCTTCCCCCAGAATGCTGGGCTGCCCCATGCACAGCCGTAATGAGAGATGTGACATTTAAGGTCTATGGGCACTTTTACTTGTGTAGTATGTTTTATAGTACTACAGGTATTCTGGCTGCACTCATAACACACAGATAACCATTACAAATATGTACTTGTTGAAAATAAATGTTGCTTTTAGAAGCTGCAATTACCAACCTCTCCTTCTGAGAATACTAATCTGCACAGTTGTTTCAGGTCAATGATTTGAAACCTTCCAATGCCGGTGGATCAGCATAACAGGCAGGCATGTAGGAGTTTCATGAGGAGTTCAGCAACTGCAGATCCTGTACTTTTCTCATGACCACATTTACTTTAGTATTTGCTGCTATGATATAATGAAATATTTGGCTGTTTTACAACTAAAATGGCCAGCTGCATAAATAAGAAACCTCCTGACTTTCATTTCCATTTCATTTCAGGAAAGCCTAATGGAACTGGCACTTCGGATCGGACCCAGCTTTCTGGGATGTACAACGTTCGAAAGGGGAAGATGCAGTTACCTGTAAACAGGTGGACAAGGCGGCAAGTTATCTTGTGTGGGACTTGTCTGATTGTGTCATCAGTGAAGGAAAGCCAGGCTGGAAAAATGCATGTTCTCCCTTTGATAGGAGGAAAGGTGTGTGCCTTTTTTATTTTTCCTGGTTGGAATACCTGTAATGCAAGAAGTGAACAATACAAGAATGTGACACTGCTCCTAGGCTCATGTGCAAGTCTGTCTCCTCACCACAGGTGCAGCCACTTCTCGAAGCTCGCTCCCATGATGGACTACAATCTCATGTTTAGTTTACTCATTTGTATTGAGATTGTATTCCATCAGGGGAGTGAGCTTGGGGTGGTGGCAACTTTACAACACACACAGGGACCATGGGGAACAAAAGTAGCCACCCTCCAGGTGGAAGGACAGTATCAGCAGAAATTCAGAGATGATTGGAGGATCTACAGCTGAGTAATACACAAATAAGATAAAAATGCATTTAAGTACCTTAACTATTAACAAAAATGTAATGTTTAACTCCTCAGCTCCGCACAATTTCCCAGATTTGTGAGGCTGCCACCTGGATGTCTTTCTACACGTTTTACAAGATAAATGTTTAAGTCCCATCTGATGATAGCTTTGGGTGTAAGGTCCTTCAGGCAGCTCTGCATTTGTTTTGTAGTTGGGCCTGTTTAACATTCTGTTTGCAATGTTGCCCACCCCTCAGTTGGACTGCTTTTAGTTGTCTCTAAATTAGGTTTACCTCAAAGGAAGAGGAAGGAAAATTTGGATTTTGGTACTTGCCGTAAAAAATTTTTTTCTTGGAAGTACATTCAGGGACACTGGTCCCACCCCTCTGTGTTTCTGGTTTACTCTCGGCCCTGCTTGTCCCACAAGTGAGGCATGCTAGGATTGAGACGGGTTGTACCAGGCTCGTCAATTTTTGTTTTGTTTGCCACTGTCCAATTCATCTGTGGCATTATAACCAAATTGTTTCTGAACCCTGTCTCCCTCAATGAACTTCTAAAAAAAGATTTTATGGGATTCTGTGCTATGTCCTAGATTGGCTGCACAACAGCCTTGTACACAAACCAGCAGGTGCTACAGTTACAACATGGCCACCACCACCCCTCTGCTTCACGTGTCAAGAGGCTCACCCATTCCTCTTGGGTGTTGGGGGCTGCCATGGCAAGTGTTGGCAGGGAGAGCAGAGGGATACCATTGAACATCTCCCTTAGCTAGAATTTCCAGGTTCAGAGATGTTATTCCCACAGCCTCCTTGGTCAGGGAAGAAGCGAATGGAACACAATCTGTGAACCAATATCTTCAATGGAGTGCAGAGGTGACACAGGAGTCTAATAGACCTCTGTCTACTTAAAGAAGAGAAGCTGTCACTGTGCTATGCTATCGCATATGGGACTTGTCAGCTCTCTTGCGATAGCAATGAAGTTAAGTTAAAAATAGTTTTATAAAATAAAAACAATTTTTTTAACGTGTGTGTAAAAAAGAAAGGTCAAAAATAGCTAAGACAGCAAAAGGGTTAAAAGGGTTAAAAGGCTGAAAAGTGTTCTCGCAGCTGATGCTGTATTACTCAGCAAGTCACCGCTGTCATTTTGACAGCCAGGAATTGCTGGTAAGCATGGCTGCTTTTAGGGCCTGTGTCAATGGGCATCGGTTTTAGATATTTCTGAGATCATTTAGAATTTGACCTGCAATTGCTCTCTTTTTAAATCTTCATTTGACCTGTTTCAAGCCAGTGTTACAGTAGACCTGTAGTCTGCTTAGAGCAAAAAAACCTTGCTGACCCTGGCTCTTGGATAGAAGAATCACTACGGAAGTTCCTGCATAAACCATACCCATAGAGCTTACTCAACTGCCCACTTCTCTAGAGCTTTCGTAGCCGGTACCTAATGCTTCTATGCAACATTCAGATCTGCTTAGGTATACATGTTAGAGAGGCACAGGTCCCGAACCGGACACCATATAACTAGTAATGCTTCATCTTCAATGAATGTTTGGCATTGCATTAGAGTTTTGTATGCAGTCTGTGCTTAGCAGGATTTTAATTTAAAGGGCATCAATGTTTGTGATCTGTTCTGGAAACTGTACGCCACATCATTGATATTGAACAATACTAAGTAGTCTTAGCTAGTTGAAATGAGTGTAGGCAAGTTTGTGTTAGTCGTATTCTTCTATGTAGCTTGAGGATATTTATAATAGTGATCACCTTGTTTATAAACCTTTTGCATTTTGAACATACTTGAGTAGCGTTGTAAATCATGCATTTTTATTAACTAAATGAGGTGATAGAAAATGGTTATTCTTTGCCCTTAATTATGAGCTTCTACTGACAATCTTAAAGCAGCACTCCAGGCACAAATTTTATCACCCCAGGACTGCAAGGGTTAACGGCTCGTTTTTGTCTAAAAAAAAAAAGTTATACTCACCCGATCTTTGGAGCCAGCCGGCTGTGACAGCTCTCCCTCCAGCCTGTCTCCTTCCGCTGCAGTGAGGGTATGTCCCTCAGCGTCGTCAGGTCCAATACACTGTGTATAGAATATGATGACTCGGACTTTAGACCGTTGCAGCGGAGAGGGAGCAAAGGGGAAGGGACCTAGACAAAAGTTAACCCTTGCAATGCGGGGCCCCACTGGAATGGTTACTGCAGTGATGGTATGTGACTCAGTGTCGTCGCGTTCAATACACTGTGTATAGAACATGATGACTCGGACTTTAGACCGTTGCAGCAGAGAGGGAGCAAAGGGGTTGCCTGTATACTGGGGTCCACATGTGTGCCTGTTTGCTTTCCTCTGGTATTTTTCTTGTTAGGAAGGTTTTGGCTTTGACTGAACCCAGCCAGGGAGGGTTTTTTTTTTTGTTTTTTTTAAATGTCATCTGATAATCATCAGCTGCTTTTGGTTCTGTCTAAAAAAAAAAATATGTAAGCAAATGATAATGAGTAAAGAAAGTAAGTGGGTGTTGGACAATACACACAACCGTTATCCATAGCAGTGGTGTAAAATTGGACATTTCAGCCATTAATTTCCAGATGTGGGTAATTTCATTATGCACCATTATTATTTCATTTAGATGTTTGAATGGGCCTAGGATTAAACTGTCATGTTGGATACCGGATCTGTTAATCTAGAAATTACTCACGAAAATTGTTGCAGGTTTTACAAGCAAAACGGTTTACCATTTTCCGCTGTTCTGTTTAGGTTGAAGAAGTTAAGAAACATCAACACTGTTTGGCTTTCAGTTCGTCAGGACCCCAGAGTCCAACATACTATGTCTGTTTTGATACATTCACAGACTACTTAAGGTGGCTGCGACAAGCCTCAAAGGTAATTTTGTTTTCTTATCCGTAATCGGTTTCCAGTTCTTAAAATGTTTTAGCTGAAATTCCCCTAGAGATGTAATATTGTATCGGCGTAGTCCTGTTGAACAGCAATGGAGTTTGTAATGCATGGTGAAATTCTCAGTGTTGGTCACGTTTTCATGGAGAAACTGCAATGATGCATTATTATGGTGTGAGGGAACCAAGCTTTCGGTGAGTAGTCAATGTCACACATTTCCTTGCTCTAGGAAAGTGTTTGGGAGTTCCATCTGCAGCACAAGTCTTCAGGCACCTATGTAATTAATCCCCTGTCTGCCAAATTGACGGCTTGTGCTTGGTCATTGAAATGATCATGCTGTGCCAACATGTCTTTATAAAAACAATGGGTGGAAAGTATTCACACTGTAGCCTGAACATTATCCATTGGAGACATGTACCACATTCATTTCACACTTTGCATAAACTCACTTTCTAGGAAGGATCAAATGCTTAAGAAAAGAGGAGGAAAAATATACTGGTAATATCTACAGTGCATAGCTAAACTAAACAGAAAAGTTTTATAGCTCCCTTAGAATGTTCAGATTATGACTTTTCTGGCTGTTAATTATTATAAAGGCCTGCTGTGCTTTGCAGCTTGCCAAAACTTGTATTAAAGGAGAACTATGCGGAGAGTTTAATGCACTTATCCCCATAGTTAAGGCTAGCGTGTGACACTGCAACGGTCACACGTGTGTTCTATAGATCGAGAACTGAACAATCACAAATCCCGGCTCTGATCTGTTCGCATATAGCAGGCAAGTAGTCTGTTATATGCTGAGTTTTGGGTCACAGGAGGACATTGGTAAATGCCCTCCTGTGACCCAAAAGAGAACTAACACCAAAAAAAGGTTTTGTTAGTTCTCTTCTAAAATGTAGGAAGTTTATTACTGAAATAACATAAAGGCAAGGTGTGCAATTAATAAAAAACCTGCAATTATCTAGTAGTATGTGTTTGTAGATGGTAATTACTAAACATTTCTAAGGTTCCACTCAGGCCTGCGCATTTTTTGCGCAGAAATGCGCAAAATTCCAAAAAAATTCATTTTAATGTACCCTGTTCACACATGCGCGGCACAAAAACGCACATCGCAAAAAAAAAAGACAAGTGCGATATTCTGGGCAACTTTTGTGTTCCGGCTATAGCAGTAGCTGCAAACGTGCAGAAACCGTACGTATGGTAAAATGTGCTCAGACATTGTTTACCACGTGGACACCTAACCCCTACTCTAGTTTGTAAGCTGATCCCTGGTTTAAATGACTGGAAGATATATTAAACACCCCAAGCTTAGCATTGTACTAGTTAAGATTTGGCAAAGTTCTTGTACAAAAGACATAACATTACATTCAATAGCTGATTTTCTTTTCTGAATCTGACTTCTTTCCCTAAAGTAGATCTAGACCCTCCCTAGATGACACTTTGCAAAGCAATGTGTATCATAAACCTTTTTGTCATTAATTTTTGATGTTTAGTCCTTTTTAAATCTTAGTGCTGCTGATCGAATTCGGACACTTTCAGCCACTTCCTGTCTTTATTTACCGGCTGCACCTTGTTGCTCTGGATTGGCTTCCAGATGAAGTCACCTTTTAGAAAGTTTAGTGTAATTTAGCACCTGATCATTTCAGTACAGCGTTGCATGACGGAATAAATGTCAAAGTACCGCAGCGCTGAATACTGAAAAATGGCCTGGATGGGAAGGGGGTTTAACACTGCGGATGTCAACTGGTTAACTTGTATTGTGATTGTAATGTCTTCCTTATATTGTAAAGCGCTGCTCAAACTGTTGGCGCTATATAAATCATGTATAATAATACTGTGGCAGTCCCTTTGGCCAGTAAAACAGTACTGGGCAGGGTTTGGTCTTGAAATCAGGGTACGTTAGGCCCTGGTAATCAAATGATAATGAGTTGTATCCAAGAATGGATTTTGTTTGGCTAACAAAGGTAAAAAAAAGGTTGGTCTATACACCGTACAAACAGGCTGACCATGCACTATACAATCTCCTTTACATCTACCGTACCATCAACTATGTAGTGTAGGGGCTGTCTGATTTGATACTATCTGAATGCATGGTTTAGGCTTGTCCTATTCCATAGTTTGGGTACAGAGATTGTAAAATCAGACTGCATAGTGTATGGTCGGCTTTACACAGATCAATACACATATCCAAGTTTGGGAAATTTTGGGGCTTCAAATTGAACCTGTACACCATTTAGCAAACAAACGCAGAAAGACGCCTTCTTTCTGGTATGTTAGCAGAATGAAGACCTTTCAAGACTCCTTTTGCTCAAGCTGTTTATCTTTCTTATTCATTACTTATTGTGTCATCAACATTATGAACCCCTGCTATTTACACATTTATTTTCTGCAAGTCTAGTTCATTTCTGTACTGAGTTTGCCCTGGGAAAATGTGCTTGTTCATTGCTTGGTTCACATTTATTTTAAGGGACATGTCAAGACTGCATTCTCTTTGACCAGAATGAATGTAATGTTCTTATGAGGGAGAAGAAATTGCAGGTTGCTGTTCTAAAATGAACACTGGGATTACTGAAGCTGAATTGAAGTTGAGTCGTGGAATGAGCATCAGTTTACTTTAATTACATGCTGCTTTCTTACTATTCCATTTCAGTGTTCCACTTTCCAGATTTTTGTCCTGTCATTAACACATCATTGTTCATCCAGACAAGTGCGAGATATTGGGCAAAAAATAAAAGCACATGCTGGAGGCTTACAGTCTATTGGTAGCAACAATTGGCTGTAATAAGGGACCTTAGACACCCCCTCCCCCCCAATACATAAAACATGCATTAAACATCTAAGTGGTAATGCTAATATATTGAAAGCTGAACTCCAGACAAATGGCTAAATACACATGTGGGGGCTGTTTTATCTGCTTAAAGATTTGTATTTCTCTCAATCCAGTTCTGAGATTTTCACAGCTCTGCACACAGCAAAGCCCTGTCTAGCAGGACTTCATATTGGATTTTTTCCCCCCCATCCGTTGTAGTTGGGAAATCCTTGTTTTGTTCTTCTCCCAGCCTGACACTGTATAGTGAAAGGAGAAGCTTCAGATATGAAAGAGATGAGAAGCATCAGAAAGAGCCGATATGGGCAATGGGGTGCCCATATCGGCTCTTTCCCATCAACATGTTCTTGTTGGCACATGAGGTTTGCAGCACATACCAATTGGCTCACAGCTGCATTTTCGAGAGAGAGAGAGACCTCGCACAGTGCCCCCCCCCTCCAGCTGTGACAGAACCGGGCAGGCACATCCCCTTTGATTGCTGTCACTGTCTCGCCTGCTGCAATCCACTTTGGTCATTACATGGGCACTGATATTGTAATGCCTGGGCATGGGTGTGAGATTCACCTTGCTCTATTCTCAGCAGCGCTGTACATTCTTAGTAAAATCTGCTGGTTTTGTTTGTTTTTGGCTCTTTTGCTGTTTTGTAAACCAATTGCAACCAGGATAGTAACTCAAACTGAGCCCCAGATAGCAGTAAAAATAGCACGCATTGGATGCTAATAATTTCCCACTCTATGGGCCCATTCACACCACTTCCAGATCATCTCCAGACCAGATTGTCTCCGGACCCAAAATGCATCCTAATGTATCCCTATGCTATTTCTGGCCTCTGTTCCCACCAGCACAGTCCGTACCAGACCACACCAGAAACATACTGCATGCCTCATCTTGTCTGGTCTGGAATGCACTGGACCTGCGGGCAGGTTCACACATTTTCTGGTCTGGAAAAAAAATGGTTTGAACCTGCCCTTAAAATAAACTCTCCAAAAAGAATGTAATGTAATGGTTTACCAGTCCTTGTATGTGGTGCCTGCATTAGTTTTTATTTTTTCAGGCCAACCTACAGTAAATACATTGATCCTACCAGAACTTTGATCTTAAAAGAAATGCATTGTCCTGGTCACTTCCTGTGAGCACAATCTCTTCCTTCTTGTAGAAACTATTAATTTGTTTTTGCACTTAGCTGTGCTTTAATGTTCACTCTTCAGAAGCGAAAGGATTCTTTTTATAACATTTGTAATTTTCTATTAGTTCAAGTAAATCAGTTAGTCTGCCGTTTCCATATTCCATTTCATCAAGACAATATCTGTCAAGGGAATTGCCAGGGAACGGTGTGGTGTGGATTCTGAAGCATACATATGTATATGGATTGATCTCCGACATGTTGACTTTGTGTCAGTGTAGACAGTGAGAACAGGTCGATTTGCAGAAGCCAGCAGTGATTGTGTGAGGCTCCAGTATTACGTGTATGATTTGCCTTGCAGACTGGAAGTTCCCTGTCAGCACAATGCTAATGTTGCTCCTGCTGTGTGTATAGCCTTTCCTCTGATCTTCAGAACAACAGTTGTTGGATATGGCCGTTATTTATAGCTCAATATTCCGGGCCGCACATCTGTAGAATGAGGTTGTCTACATTAACGCCTTGGGACTCGCTCCTTTCTTTTATGAGCTTGCAGGATTTTGATCTATACGTGGATACCTGTACACAGGCAGAAAGCATTCTGTTTCCACAGCTAGGCACTGCAATTATCTCTTATAATGACTGTGATGAAGATGTCTCAATTGCACTAATTTGCCACCTTCTTCAGCTCTGCAGGGAGTCTGTGTTTGTCCTTTATCAGCAGTTTGTGGAAGAAGAGCCATGTGTTCTAGACTCTGCCATATTATCATTTAGAAATGTAATTCTAATTATGTTAATGAGTCCTGAAGAATGGGAAATGCCAGGGTAAAGGGGTGATTACTAGAGTGCTTCACTTTGCCAGTTGTGCTCCATTATCGTATTAAAACAGCCAGAAGTTATCAGATAATAGAATAAATGCAGGCAATTTTCTTCTTCTCACTGTCTGATTTTGGCAGACGTTTTGCTTGTATATGCAAAGCTCATTTATGCCGAGCGCTGCAAGTGTCCTGATTAAAATTGACAGGAAGGTCTAGGTGATTTTGT